ATATTTGCCTGTTGATTTGGTAATTTCGGTTTGTGATGATTATTTGTTAAAAACTTTGATAATTGATTTTTTTGGTACTTTGTAATTTGGTAATTTGATAGTTTGGTAGTTTTGTTTATGGTAATTTGGCATGTTTATGTGTATTTGGTATGTGTATATGTATATTTGGTATGTGTATATGTATATTAGGTATATATGTATGTGTGTATTTGTTATGATTTAATTAGGAAATCTCTCAAAAGTACATGTAGAATGATTGAATAAAATAAACAAAAAAGTAAGATGTTATAATTCATAATGTCATCTAAAGTATAATACTTCAAGTAGAATGTATTTGGTATGTGTAATTGTTGGTTTGTTAGTTTGGTAGTTTTTGTTTATGTTGATAGTTTAACTTATAAGTTTATATATGTTGTTATTTATTATGTGGTTGAAGAATCATCAGGAAATGTTCAACGACCCGATGTGTAGTGTAGAATTTTATGAATTTATTCATTCAAGGAAACCACCAAATGATGATCAAGGAGGAAACGATGGGAGTGAAGATGATGACATTTTCAACCAGTTTAATTTTTGTTAGACTTTATATGAATTTAAACACTTATGGAACGAATATGGTACATATTTTGGCATGTATGGAATTATAACACTTTCGGCACCTAAGATGACATATTGTTATCTATCGGTTTTTCTACATTTAATTGGGTTGTTTCAAAATAAAAATAAAAAAGGGTACTAGAGGCGACCAACGTTATTACCAGCGACATCATCCTTTAGCGGCAACAACATTATTACCGGCAACAAATAACTTTAGCGGTGATGATTTGGGCAATATCGGCGACTCATTAGCGTCGATTTGTCGTTGTTATTACCTTTAGCCGTGATTTTCGATGGTTTAGCAGCGTTTTTTGTCGCCTCTAATGAATTTTTTTTGTAGTGTATATTTTCGAAGGATCGATTCAAATTGTGTTTCTAGCATTCCTTTAGTTCAATCTAAATTGGAGGCTTCTAGATGTAGAGTTGAACTCATTAAAAATGTGAAATGCACCCAAAAGTTGATTTTTGTGTTAGGCCACTTAATTCAAAAATTTATGGCATTAATGTTTTGTATAATTTGGAAATTAAGAGGATGCCTCATTAATCATATCTTTATCCATGTTTTCCATGAGCTGAGGAGAGGTGTGTAGTATAATCGTCTTTTTTCACATGTCCAACTCCTAATTCATCTGTATATGAGTATTCATTCCTTCTTTGAAATGGGTGATATACGTTGCCATACTCCTGCTTGTTTTTATTCCTTGTATGTTCGGCTTCTGTTCGGCTATACCAAGGATTTTTTTCCCTCTTAAATCTAGCTAAGCTTACAAATATAGTGAAACATCCTAGCCACACACCTTTAACTCTTGATAAGATTTTATACACCAATACAACCTTTGTAAATCTAATGAAACCAAATTTCTTTCATTCCTGTTTTCCTTCTTGGGTATGTAATATTCCACTACTTCACCATATTTTCCGAAAAACCATGCAGTTTTTCCTCGGGGGAGAAGTTTGTGAAGAAGAGTGAATACATTATTAACTTAACCCGATTTTAAAATCTTTGCGTTCGTCTACGAAGTATTATTATCCATTTTCCAGATGCTCATTAGTGTCGTCACGACCCCCATTGTTCAAAAAGACCGATTGGTTGGGATGCTATCGCGATGGCATTTACTCTTTTTAATAAACACCACTAGAAGTCAATAACTAGTCACTGGAAACTTTTTTTCTAGTGACTTGTCACAGGGTAACCCATTTCTTTTTTATCCCGCGGTGATTAGGTCCACATCGATTTACCCACACGTAATATGAAGATGACAAAAAATAAGACATGGAGCAGTTAAGGAAATTTATAAGGAAAATGTTGCATATTTTGATAATAAATTAAAGTATGATTGTATAATCCGTGTCTAAAATCATCTTTTTAAATAGAATACTTGAAAAAATAAAACATTAATGCATGATTATACACTTAACCTGACAAAAATTTGGTTGAATTATCCAACTGCCAATGACGCTTACATTAAAATGGATATGGCACAGGAGGAGATATATGTTAAAGATGAAATTTCATGTCCAAAGTACAGTGCACAACTGTAGATGATTTTGTTGTGATGAAAGACCGGTCCACAACATATCTTGTCAATCAATCATGCTAAAATTTATTTAGCTCCTTAATATGCAATGCTTTCATTTTGGTGAAAATAAACATAGATATATATAATTGTCATGAAACCTCATGTTTCACAATTGTTATGGGCATGTCAACCTCGTTGACAAATTAATTTAGCTAGCGATGGAGACAAAGCGCATGTTGATCAGTGATAGTCGCTTTCCCTGACCTAAAGCCTATGAAGAAGTAAATATAAATAAGACCAACAGTAATATAAAACTTAAAGTAACTGTGCGAGTTGATATTACAAGGATTAACGCATAAACATTAAAAAAATCTCAAATTTGAAGTAACAACTACACATGAACAGTAGACTAGATAAATTCGTTTCTGAAAATATCAGTTTTACATGATGTAAATGTAGGTTATAGAATTCATAACCTAAATTTAGCCACAACTAATCCCTTTTGAGATATTGACCTAAAGATATAGGGTTCAATATATGGAGTATAAAGATCGAAGGCTCATTATTTTCTTTAGGTTTCATTTCCTTCTTCAAATCTTTTGTGGATGGATGGTTAAAATAAATAAATAAATAAATAAATTACCAAACCTAGAAAACCAAAGCAGTATAAAATAGTAGATCCCTACATGATCAATACTATAAAAAGCAAATACATGTGATTCATAAGCTAAGTTGGTGATTTGAATGGTGTTTCTTGATATGGGAACAGCAGTAACTATATCAAGCTGTATGAAGTTTAATAAGTGTGTAATAACGATATAAATTATTTTTATAAATTAATGACGACTCTTTTATGTTATCAAGTAATTAAAGTTAATAATTCATCTAAAACTTATGAATGGATTAACAACCTACTATATTCTCCAGTGTACTTTTGTATTTAGGACCCGAACCACCATTGTTAAAACCAAGAGAATTGAAGTCAAACTCTGAAACCCTATAAGGTGATATTCCGTTTGCAAAATGTATATTTAATCCTTGTAACAAGGCTAGTTCACAATGTATTTAAGAAAAATCTTGGTTAATACCTGTTTGGTAAAAGTACACATATACTAAGTAAGTTCTACAACTGTAATGGGACAAAACGGTAGAGAGAGAGATAGAGAGATAGAGAGAGAAATTTAGAATTTTGGGGTTACACTTTTCTTGCATGGCTGGAGGGCTCAAAGTGACAATGAGAGAGGTATCCAGCTTTAAGGCGTAAATGAAGGAAGAAAAAGAAGAGATTTTTAGAATTAAAAAACAAATAAATTATTATTTTATTAGACAAGAAACAAAGAAAACACCAAGAGGGAAAAAAGAACAATATGGACAGAATTCCTAGGTATTGTCTCCTACTCAACCCATTACCCTATGCAAATCAAAGAAAAATTTAGAACATGAGTGTATAATATTGGACCTTAAATTCAACTTTGCATCGAAATGTGTACCATAACTAAAATGCAAAAAAAGCAAACTCACACCCTTCAAAATTTCAAGGTAATTGTAGGAGTGTAACATAAGAACAACAATAATTAACAAGTCGCGAATGACTTCGTGTGTCGAAATTATTACGTAATAATTTGATGGTTTAATTAATTAATCTCTTGAAATTTGATGGAAGAATTGCGTACTGCTCATGTAATCGTTGCCACCAAGAGATGGGTATAGCGAGTGCCCGATATAATTTGCAGCCGCCGTTGAATTACCAGGGGAGGTGGTGGTGGTGGTTGTGAGATTTAGTTGTGGGATTCCGCCGGCACTGCCACCGGAAGAGGTGTCTCCGCCCATGTACTGCGCTTCAGGGCCTTGATCATAAAGAATTCCTTTAAACAAATGTCCTCCTATGTTCACTGCAGCTTGATATGCAAATTGGTCATCGGTTTCATCAATCGAACTCACTCTTACACATCTGAAATTCGCTTGTGTTGTCACTTCTGAGGGGAAATTACCTACCTCTAACCCTAGTTTCATAACACACAGATAATCATTAATAAATATTTCATTTTTCAAGAACATTTTGAATTAGGGTGTAGTGATTATATATATGCACGTTTAAGTATTTTTTTATTAAAAAAAAGGAAATTGGTGCTACTAAAAGTCTAAAATATATTAAAATTCTTAATCATCACCATCAACTTTCCTTCACGAGGATATATAGCTAGAAGTTGTCCAATTAACGAAGAACTCAATCATTCATATAATATTGATGTTCACTTATTAGATAAACAATATAATATTGTAATTAATTGTGTAGACAACAATGAATAATTAAGAAAGTAAAGCGCAAGAATTTTAGTGATTCAGAGACTCTACTCATGAAATTATAAAATTTTATTAAAAGATCTGAGTTAAAGAATTTGTTTTCTTGAAAAGAACTATGAGAATCTATTGCACCAAAGAAGAACAATTATAGAAAACAAATCTAAAGGATCCAGATTTTTGTATAAAAATGGTAGTAGCTTTAGATATATATAATTTATGTACCTGATGAGGAATTGTAAGCAATAGCACCAGTAATCGGATTAAGCATATTAGGGTTATCATGATCTTGGGTTGATCTTGTTCTTTTGGTGTTTTGATGAACACGACGGCGGCTCTGATCTTGTTGTGTGCCGGAGCTATATTGTTGCCTTTCCCGGCGTTTGGCGGCCGGAACCCATGTGCTTTTCACGTGTGTTTGGCAATGGAACCCTCTGCTCTTGCAACAAGTTCTACATCTCATATGAGGACAATCTTTCTTGGCCTGGTTTCCACAATCCTGGCAGCTCACACCACCACCACCACTACTTCCGCCGCCGATGACACCATGCCCCATCATAACAAAAGCCGCAGATCCCCAGGTGGATTCGTCTGAGAAATTTATGAGCCTGCCATCACCACCACCACCGCCACCCATAGAAGCAGCTCCAGCTAACAAATTATGAGAAACATCAGCTTGGGTGGGTTGCTGCCATAGTTCGAAATCTTTGGTAGTGGTGGTGGTGGAAGGGCGGTCATGGGTGCTTCTTGTGGAACCGTATAAGAACCAGCTGCTGGATTCAGTAGGATTAGAATTAGGAGTTGGATTTGAAGGGAGATTTGTGGAAGAGATAGGGTCTTGTTGGCTATGGAAAGTTGCAGATCCTAATGAGAAGAAGCCGGCCATAGCTTCTGCAGCAGCTTTAAGCTTATGTGATGACAAGTACTCCTACAACACACCAATTGTGACTCACAATAATCCATAGCAAAAGAAAATCCAACCTAAACTTTATTTATGTCCTCCCTCCTAACCCTATTTCTAGATAGCTTAATTATTAAAGATAAATACAGAAAAAACAGATAATTGTGTTAATATAAATGCTTTGTGACTTTTCACTCCTGGGTTTGATTGAAATCCGATATACTTCAATTCGAAAATCTGGTTTGAAGAAGAGAAAGAAGAAGCTGTCGTTCAATTGTGTGGTTGTACGTGAACATTAAAGAAGCCAAAATTTTCAGGTCTGCCACGCCGCCATAGCCATTAAAGCAACCCTTTCTTTCTCTGCTGCTGTTACTGCTGTTTCTTCTTTCCTTTAATTCTTTCATTGATAGGCGCTGTTTGTTTTGGGGGCTTTCATCTCTCTCTCTCTCTCTCTCTCTCTCTCTCTCTCTCTCTCTCTCTCTC